CTCTCTCTCTCTCTCTCTCTCTCTCTCTCTCTCTCTCTCTCTGTGTGTGTGTGTGTGTGTGTGTGTCTTTCAGAGCCAACCAGGTCTGTGAGGAAGACAACGTCTCAGCAAAAAGACTTCGATACCTGTATAAATATGATGAAAAAAGTCTCCTCACATAAGAATCAAAATTGGGTGTTCATCGTGCGCCGACGAAGCCCCTATCCACTACACCACTCACCACACACAGACACCGCTAGGGGAGTTAATAAAATTACTTCCTCGTCACACGCACGGAAGAATAAAATATGCACGACTTCTGTCCCGACTGTCTGTGTTTTTGATAAAATGTCTTCTTGGTTACTCGAAAGCAATTAAATATTAATATGTTTAAAAAAAAGAAGAACCCCCCCCTCCCCCCACAAAACCCCACCAACAAAAATCAGAACAAACCAAAACTGGTTAAATGACAACAGAGGAAGACGAGATGTTTCGGATGACTTAACGTTGTAATCCATACATAGACTTTTTTTTCAGTTTTGATTTCTTTTCCGGAAACTTTAAATGACTGGCAGCAATAACCTGCATATATTTAAAATTTGCAAATGTGATTTGTGTATGACGGTATGAATGTGCGACAACTTTGCCATTGGCCTGCTGATAGGACACATGAAGTGGCCGTTATGTCATTGAAAGAGTTTAAGTTTAGAATTATATTTCCTTCTAACGCTTTTGCCTTTAGTACGCACCTGAACTTTGTCGGAACCAAAATATGTTGGGTTTTTTTAAATTTAAAAAATCACAAAATTTTTTACCCAATTGCCACGTTGTACAATAGTTAGGAAAACATAAAATAACAATATATTCTGTTAATATCTCAATAATACCTTGAAATATTTATTGGTTGTATTTCAGGATTGACCTCGAAAGGAGTATGTAAATCGATGTCATCCAATTGACCCGGAAGTCCTGATGTGATTAATGTGACCTATGAGGTCAACATTAGGATGGAATTCTACACCCACGGATCGCCTGTGATTCTGTGACAGGTATGGAAATATTGCTTTAATTTTGTATTTCATTTTGTTGGGAGTGCAGGAACTGTTTAAAAACGATGTGGTTAAAAGACTTTGTGCTAGGTAATGTCGAACATACACACAGAATCATACGTACAAACACACACACACACACACACACACACACACACACACACACACACACACACACACAATCAGAAGGACACGCATGCACACACACACACACAGACACACACACACACACAAACGCACACACACAAACACACACACACGGAAAGGCATGCATGCATACACACGCACGCACACACTCACACTCACACACACACACGCACGAACACACACTCATTCACACACACACGCACGAACACATACACAAACACTCACAGACATGCTCACACACACACTCACACATTTAATTTATGCAGACACAGAGTTACAGAGAGACAGAAACAAAGAGAACATGAGAATGACATACACTGAAAGAAAGAGAGAAAGCATAATGAAAAGAAAGAGTGAAAACATAATGATTCCTCCGCTCGACAAAACAAACCACATCCCTCC